TAATCCTGATTAATAAGATACTGAAGAAAGAAAGCAGCTGTATTCTGTACTACTTTAAGCATTTAGTATAGGAAAAGAGGCATTTCTGCAGGCAAATAGTTTTATAAATATAACTCATCCTGTTTCACTGCTGTAGCTACATATCTAGGAGTAAACCTACAGGAGGTCAAGCAGCGTGTAACTAGGGAACTCCTATATTTAGTTTAGAAAAATTAGTATGATACTTCGCAGAGACTTCTAGAAGAAAATTAATTCGCATTATATTAGAAAGGAATTTAGAATGAGGGAATGAATAGGTCTTTGCATCAACATACGTGCTATGATTGAAAGGCAAATAAAAACTGGTCAGGGCTTGGTGACTCTTCTTTCCTAATAAGGGAAATGTTCATGATATTTTAATTAAAAATATTAAGAAAAAAGTTACAGAGAATATCCCAATTTTAAAAAGTTTTATATACATATGTATTCCAAAATGTAAGTAGTAGTAACTTTTGGGTGATGTGATTATATATTTTGTACTTTTTCTACTTCTTCTCTAGTTATATATAATATTTAGCTTTTTTTTTTCTTTTTTTTGAGACAGGGTGTCACTCTGTTGCCTAGGCTGGAGAGCAGAGGCGCAAATAGGGTCACTGCAGGCTGGACCTCCCTGGGCTCAGGTGATTCTCCCACTTCAGCCTGCTGAGTAGCTGGGACTACAGGCACATACCACCATGGCCAGTTAATTTTTGTATTTTTGGTAGAGATGGGGATTCACCATGTTGCCCAGGCTGGTCTCGAACTCCTGGGCTAAAGAGATCTGCCCACCTCAGCCTTCCAAAATGCAGGGATTACAGGTGTGAACCACTGTACCTGGCCTTAGCACTTTTCTTATCATAAAATAAAAATGATATATATATATAGCAAATGAAATGTTATTCCCTTTGCAGGGGTGGGAGCTATACTTGAAATGTTTGTTGTTTTCTTTTCTTTTCTTCCTTTTTTTTTTCTTTTGAGATGAAGTTTCACTCTTGTCGCCCAGGCTTGAGTGCAGTGGCGCCATCTCGACTCATTGCAACCTCTGCCTCCCAGGTTCAGGCAAGTCTTCTGCCTCAGCCTCCCAAGTAGCTGGGATTACAGGTGCCTGCCACTACAGCTCGCTAACTTTTTGTATTTTTAGTAGAGATGGGGTTTCCCCATGTTGACCAGACTGGTCTTGAACTCCTGACCTCAGGTGATCCACCCGCCTCAGCCTTCCAAAGTGTTGGGATTACAGGTGTGAGCCACCACACCCAGCCGAAATGTTTGTTGTTTTCATCAAATTTTCTTTTCTTTTCTGACTTAGAGTTTTACTCTTGTTGCTGGAGTGCAATGGCGTGGTCTTGGTTCACTGCAACCTCCATCTCCTGGGTTCAAGAGATTCTCCTGCCTCAGCCTCCCGAGTAGCTGGGATTACAGGGGCCCGCCACCATGGCCAACTAGTTTTTGTATTTTTAGTAGAGACGGGGTTTCACCATGTTGGCAAGGCTGGTCTCAAACTTCTGACCTCAGGTAATCTGCCTTGCCTTGGCCTCCCAAAGTGCTGGGATTACAGGCGCGAGCACCGCGCCCGGCCCAAATTTCCTTTCCATGGATGAATGGTAATGATAACAACCATCCACAGCCTAGGAAAAAAAATCATAATTTAAGTATTCTAGCCTAGAAATACAAGCTGTCAAACTAGTGGGCAAGATAAGAGGCTTAGAGTTGCTGATGCAATTATTTTATATAAAAAGAATATGCAGCAGTCAAAAAATCTTTAGCCAAGTGAATAGATAGTACAACTATACTGCACACACATTCTAGAAGAGAAGAATATGGAGAAGAACCAGAGATTATACTTTCTATATGTAAGTTCAAGTAGATCGTAGGCTAAGAGGTTTCATTTATATCAGCAACTAATTTATGTGTGTCTGTATTATTCAATGTAGGATCATTATAGATATGAGGCATTTTAACACTGCAGATGATTTTTCAGTATTATCTGAAGTGGTATAGTCATAGATGCACTTGATCTTGCTTCTTTTCTCATAGCTAAAATAAACTCTAGGGTTGGGCATTAAAAACTACGGTTTTGGCCGGGCGTGGTGGCTCATGCCTGTAATCCCAGCACTTTGGGAGGCCGATGCGGGCGGATCACGAGGTCAGGAGACCGAGACCATCCTGGGTAACACGGTGAAACCCCGTCTCTACTAAAAATGCAAAAAATTAGCCGGGCGTGGCGGCCGGCGCCTGTAGTCCCAGCTACTTGGGAGGCTGAGGCAAGAGAATGGTGTGAACCCGGGAGGCGGAGCTTGCCGTGAGCCGAGATCACAGCCACTGCACTCCAGCCTGGGCGACTGAGCAAGACTCCGTCTCAAAAAAAAAAAAAAACAACAACTATGGTTTTAGGCATTTAAGCAGTAAGAAATTTCTATTCTATTTAGAAATAAATTTTACAAAATAACAATGTAACTGGTATGATTATTCATTATTAACTAAGAACAAAGCCAATTTTATGTGTTTTCCTGAGTAAATTTATAAAGCAAACTCCTTAGCAAAATATTGTCAAGCTCCCTATATTCAAACTAAGTCAAAATATTAAAAATCTCTGTATTTTGGAGACCAACTTAAATATGTTCATTTTCACAACCAGCTCCCAAAAACTTGTCATAATTAAGAATTGAAAATGATAGCTACCATGTGAACATATCTAATTACTGGGAATTTACTTTGATCAGCTTTGGTTCTGAAATTGCTATGTGTCTAGATTTAGTAATTTTGTGTTAATTGACTGTACTGCAATGAATGGGTTTGTGATGATTCAGGTACAAGATTGAGACAGTGAATTCAGAATTTATGGGTTTTTTTTTTTTTTTTTTTTTGAGACAGAGTCTGGCTGTGTCACCCAGGCTGGAGTGCAGTGGTACAATCTTGGCTCACTGAACCTCCGCCTCCCAGATTCCAGTGATTCTCCTGCCTCAGCCTCCTGCGTAGCTGGGATTACAGGTGCGCACCACCATGCCTGGCTAATTTTCATATTTTTAGTAGAGGCAGGGTTTCACCATGTTGGCCAGGCTGGTCTCAAACTCCGGACCTTGTGATCTGCCCGCTTCAGCCTCCCAAGGTGCTGGGAATACAGGCATGAGGCACCGCGCCTGGCCCAGAATATATGTTTTAAATGTGCCTTTAAGTAATAACATATAATACAGAGTTTTAGAAAACAAGGGTTACAATTGTTATGGACTAAACATTCATTATGTTGATGCATAGATTTCAAGACTGAAAAATCACTAGTGAATTATTTCAAAGCTTTAAAAAAGACAGTGAATTTCATTTTGCGTCATCTCTCAGTGCAACTTAATCTTTCTTCTTAGAACCATAATAAATACAAATAACCACACTAAAAGATCTAGCACATCCTTATTCACACATTTTATAGTGCAGTAACTGGGAAGGAAAGTACTGGCTTTTAAGTAATCCTACAAAACAATTTCAGTTGATAGAACACCTGCCTACTTATTGGCAACACTACCAGTTCTTATGAAGGGTATTTTAATGCTCAGCAGCTCTATTGAGGTGTGAGTGCAGCTAAGTTTGCACTTGCTGGTTAGTCTATAAGACGGTCCAAGTATCTACAAACTGCCTTGAAAATAGGAATGATATCTTCTGGATCAAATGAAAACTTGACATGTTGTGAAAATGAGGATCAAAAGACTGCCAGTATGATTTATTAGAAGGGTTTTGGGCCAGGCACGATGGTTCATGCCTGTAATCTCAGCATTTTAGGAGGCTGAGGTTGGAGGATTGCCTGAGCGCAGGAGTTTGAGACCAGCCTAGGCCACATAGGGAGACAGACCCTTTCTCTACAAAAAAACAAAAAAAATTAGCTGGGTATGGTGGTATGCACCTGTGGTCCCAGCTATTCAGGAGGCTGAGGTAGGAGGATTGCTTGAGCCCTGGAGTTTGAGACTGCAGTGAGCCATGATCACACCACTGCAGTCCAGTCTGGGCAAAAAAACATGAGCCCCTGCATGAGACCCTGTCTCAAAAAAAAAAAAAAAAGGAGGAGGATTCCGAACTCCTAAACAACACATATGGTTATTGTCTTTAAAAATCAATGCACATGGCCAGGCATGGTGGCTCACGCCTATAATCCCAGCTCTTTGGGAGGTGGAGGCGGGCAGATCACCTGAGGTCGGGAGTTCAAGACCAGCCTGACTAACATGGAGAAACCCTGTCTCTACTAAAAATACAAAATTAGCCGGCCATGGTGATGGGCACCTGTAATCCCAGCTACTCGGGAGGCTGAGGCAGGAGAATTGCTTGAACCTAGGAGGTGGAGGTTGCAGTGAGCTGAGATCGTGCCATTGCACTCCAGCCTGGGCAACAAGAGTGAAACTCCATCTCAAAAAAAAAAAAAAAAAAAAAAATTAATGCATGTATGTCTGTTATTCTCATTAGGTTTCTATTTTGTCTATTTATTTCACTGATGTATCCCAGGTACCTAGAGCATTGTCTTTTAAAAGTGTTTTTAATTAGAAGATGATTTATTGTATTAAATGCTGTTTTGCCACCCTGTGAGATGGTCATGTGGGTTTTCCTCACTTACTTCTTATCATTACATATGTAATAGATTTTTAAAAGCCAACTGCATCATTCTAGATTACTGGGCTCAAATAACCAGTACCCACTCTAGCTAAAAGGAATGCATTGAAGCGATATTTGGTAGTTCAGAGAATCTCCTCAAAGGCCAGATAAACAGGCCTGGAAGCTACACCGTTTGGAACAATGCCCAACTCACACAGCAGGACTGTCCCAGTTAAGACCACTGCCGTGCACCAGACACCATAGTTTGTACCGCTGACCTAGGGCACCAGACACCATCCCTAGAATATTTGCTCTTACTGCTCCAGGAAGCTGGATGTCTCTGTGGCCATCTTTACTATTTCCAGCCACCAGCTACCAAATTAAAGACTTGTATGAGTACATTTGATTTGTCAGCCCAAGCAACAAGGGGAACCGAGGAACAAATCTGGCTTCTATCTTGGGGACACAGAGGTTCATAAGGTGAAGAATTGCCAGACATGAGAAGGTTACTTAAAGGTGCTAGGTGACCAAAAAGAATGATAGATCAAGGAATCTTTGGATTTGTTTGAAATAAAGGTATCAGTTAGTCTGTATAATTAGGTAGCATTCAGTGAACTTAACTTTGAAATATAACTTTGAAATGAAATGCAATGGAACTTGGCTGTATAGGTAAATAAGGATATAAAGAATGCAGACACTCCCAAATATATATCTAAAACATATAGAACACTATGGATCTGTGTATAATTGGGAATGAGAGAAGAGGAAGTAGTTAAGGCTGACACAGGTTTTGGTGATGGGGTAAATGGTGATACTTCAATGAGATGCGGAACAGAGGAGATGCAGATATTGTATGTGCGTGGATGCGGGAGTTAGAAGATAGTTTGGGACTTCCTTCCTCTTCTGGCAAGATGGCGGGCGGAAAAGCTGGAGTGACTCTGAGGCAGCTGCATCTTTCCCGCCAGGATCTCAGCACCTTGGATGTTACCAAGTTGATGCCATTTTCACAGGAAGTTATCAGCAGACAAGCCACCATTAATATAGGTACAATTGGTCATGTGGCTCATGGGAAATCCACAGTTGTCAAAGCTGTTGCTGGAATTCACACTGTCAGGTTCAAAAATGAACTAGAAAGAAATATTACAATCAAGCTTGGATATGCTAATGCTAAGATTTATAAACTTGATGACTCAAGTTGCCCTCGGCCAGAATGTTATAGATCTTGTGGGGGCAGTACACCTGATGAGTTTCCTACAGACATTCCAGGGACCAAAACGAACTTCAAATTAGACACGTTTCCTTTGTTTGTCTGTCCTGGCCACAGTATTTTCATGGCTACTATGCTGAAAGGTGCAGCAGTGATGGATGCAGCTCTTCTGTTGATAGCTGGTAATGAATCTTGCCCTCAGCGTCAGACATCTGAACATCTGGCTGCTATAGAGATCATGAAACTGAAGCATAATTTGATTCTACAACATAAAATTGATTTGTTAAAAGGAAGTCAGGCTAAAGAACAATACGAGCAGATCCTTGCATTTGTCCAAGGTACAGTAGCAGAGGGAACTCCCATTATTCCAATTTCAGCTCAGCTGAAATACAATATTGAAGTTGTTTGTGAGTACATAGTAAAGAAAATTCCAGTACCACCAAGAGACTTTACTTCAGAGCCCCAACTTATTGTTATTAGATTCTTTGATGTCAACAAACCTGGCTGTGAAGTTGATGACCTTAAGGGCGGGGGGGCGTGTAGCTGGTGGTAGTATTCCAAAAGGAGTATTAAAGGTGGGTCAGGAGATAGAAGTAAGACCTGGTATTGTTTCCAAATATAGTGAAGTAAAATTCATGTGTAAACCAATCTTTTCCAAAATTGTATCACTTTTTGCAGAGCATAATGATCTGCAATATGCTGCTCCAGGCAGTCTTATTGGAGTTGGAACAAAAATTGACCCCACTTTGTGCGGGACAGACAGAATGGTGGGGCAAGTACTTGGTGCTGTCGAAGCCTCACCTGAGATATTCACAGAAGTGGAAATTTCCTATTTCCTGCTTAGACAGCTTCTAGGTGTACACACTGAAGGAGACAAGAAAGCAGTAAAGGTGCAAAAGCTGTCTAAGAATGAAGTGCTCATGGTGAACATAGGATCCCTGTTGACTTAGTGCTGTCAAGGCCGATCTGGGTAAAATTGTTTCGACCAATCCAGTGTGCACAGAGGTAGGAGAAAAGATTGCCCTTAGCCGAAGAGTTGAAAACCAATGGCGATTAATTGGTTAGGGTCAGATGAGAAGAGCAGTGACAATCAAGCCACCAGTAGATGATGACTGAAGAATACCGGTTAAATAATACATTTGGATGGAGTTGGAAGTTGGAATTTCTCTTAACAACTGGGGGTTTATTTTCAAAGCGATATTGGGGAATTGATTTCACAGTTTGTTACCTTAGTAGGTAGCTGTAAGGTTATTCTCTTTTTTTTTTTTTTTTTTTTTTTTTTTTTGTGCTTATGAAAACTTAGCTTAGGGACTACAATTAATATAAAAATTGGCATAATGTTGGATTGAATCTACATTTTGGCAGAAGTTAAGTATTCCCAAATAATGTCAAAATTATACATCATGCAGTTTGTTTGTTTGTTTTTGTTTTGAGTCTGGCTCTGTCACCCAGGCTGGAGTGCAGTGGTGTGATCTGCAACCTCTGCCTCCTGGATTCAAGCGATTCTCCTGCCTCAGCCCCCCAAGTAGCTGAGATTACAGGCGCGTGCCTCCACACCTGGCTAATTTTTGTATTTTTAGTAGAGGTGGGGTTTCAACATGTTGGCCAGGCTGGTCTCTCCTGACCTCAGGGTGATCAGCCCACCTTGGCTTCCCAAAGTGCTGGGATTACAGGCATGAGCCACCTTGCCCAGCCCAAGTCATATGGTTTGAAATGAAAGTTTGCTACAACCAGCCTTTGCTGTAGCACACACATACTACTGAACCTGTTTGAAATAAAGTTTTCTTTCTTTTTCATGATTCATCTTTGAGTAGCTCCAGGCTGAAGGACTGAGGTACCAGTAAAAACTTAAAAGCACAAATTCTCCTTGAAGACCTTCTCCCTTTTCTTTGTCCCCATATTTTATGTTGCTTTATCTTTAAAATTTTGCATGAAAAGGAAATTAATGGGTTCAAATGAAATTGTCCTTTAGAGCATGAGTACTTGTTTCCATGGACAAATCTTTTTCTCCCCTTGCTCTTCCTGGCCTGAAACACGGGAAACCAGAGTCAGAAGTTATCTCCCTCTCCCTGTGATGCCTTGAGATATTTTCTGCATTGTTTTATGCCTGAAATCCAATAGTCTTCCTCCACTGGAAAATACTGTTATACCAAATAATTCTAGATGAATAACAAAGATCTTTCCAGGCCTTCATTTTATGTTTTTTCTTAACTGTTACATTATCATGACACAGATTGTAATATTACTAATTTTTGGACGTTTCAAAAGGTCAAGAAGTAAAAGATGTTGGAAAGCAATGAGTGAGTGCTTTTGATTTTTAACTTGTTCCCCATGTCCCTATACTTACTTCCCGATGTCCCTATACTTACTTCCTGTGCTTTATCTTTTTTATTTTTTTAGAGATGGAGGCTCGCTCTGTCATCTAGACTAGAGTAAAGTGGCACGATCTGGGCTCACTGCAACCTCTGCCTCCTTGGTTCGAGCAATTCTCGCACCTCAGCCTCCCAAGTAGCTGAGATTACAGACACATGCCACCACACCCAGCTAATATTTATATTTTTAATAGAGATAGGGTTTCACCATATTGGCCAAGCTGGTCTCAAACTCCTGACCTCAGGTGATCTGCCCGCCTTGGCCTCCCAAAGTGCTGGGATTACAGGCGTGAGCCACTGTGCCTGGCTTATTTTTCTTTATTTATGTTTTTGCTTCATAAGAGGTTCTGTTAAGCAGTGATTCCCAACTCTCGCTGACGTTAGAATTGCTGGGGAAGCTTTTTTAAAAAAATGCCCTACAGAGATTCTGGTTTAATTGGCTTGGAATAGAATTCAGGCATTGATATCTTTAAAAACTCCCCAGTGTTGAGAAACAAATTTAGAGAGTTGAGAAGCAGGTATGTTAAATTACGGAATCTTACTGAGTTTTGGTAGTCTGATAATATAGTTTGCTTTGCTTTTCTTAAATTTGCATTGAGATGGGATTTGAGGCATATTGTGCTCTTTTGAATGTTGAAGTTGCATTGAAGAAGTTTAGAAGCTCTGGCTATGGGTTATCTAAGTTGATGTTTTGAGGAAGCATATTAATTTTATAAACTTGGCTGACTTTTAAGGTTGTAGCATAGAAATAAAACAATTTTAAATTAAAAAAAAGTTTAAAGTGCATGTGGGACATCCAATTAAAGAAGTCTAAAAGGTAGGTAGTAGATATCAAGGTCTGAGAGAGATCCAGGGTAAAGGTACAAATGTATGAGCGGTCACCATAGATTGGTCATTAAAGCCATGGGCTTGGTTGATATGTGAGAAGAGAAGAAAAAGAAACAGAGAAGAACCTTGAGGAACACAAATATTTAAGAAATGGGCATAAGAAGAGGAGATTATATTGCAGGAAGGCAACATGGTATAGATCAACTAGGAGGCCGAGGTGAGAGATCACAGTGGCTCAGAAAAAAGTGATGACAGCAGAGATATTTATTTATTTAGAGATAAGGTCTGTCTCTGTCACCCAGGCTGGAACACAGTGGCGCAATCATGGTTCACTGCAGCCTCATCCTCCTGGGCTCAAGTGATCTTCCCACCTCAGCCTCTTGAGTAGTTGGGACTACAGGTGCCTGCCACCACACCAAGCAAGCTTGCTTTCTTTCTTCCTTCCTTCCTTCCTTCCTTCCTTCCTTCCTTCCTTCCTTCCTTCCTTCCTTCCTTCCTTCCTTCCTTCCTCCCTCCCTCCCTCCCTCCCTCCCTCCCTTCCTTCCTTCTCTCTCTCTCTTTCTCTCTTTCTCTCTTTCTTTCTTTTCTTTCTTTTCTTTCTTTCACGGATCTTCGCTCTTGTTGCCCAGGCTGCAGTGCAATGGCACAATCTCAGCTCACTGCAACCTCCACCTCCCGGGTTCAATTGATTCTCCTGCCTCAGCCTCCTGAGTAGCTGGGATTACAGGCATGCACCACCACACTCGGCTAATTTTGTATTTCTAGTCGAGACGAGGTTTCTCCATGTTGGTCAGGCTGGTCACAAACTCCCCACCTCAGGTGATCTGCCTGCCTCGGCCTCCCAAAGTGCTGGGATTACAGGCGTGAGTGCCTGGCCTTATCTTTTTCTTTTTGGTAGAGATGGAGTCTCCCTAGGTTGCCCAGACTGGTCTTGAATTCCTGGGCTCAAATGATCTTCCCACTTGGGCCTCTCAAGGTGTTGGGATTACAGGCATGAGCCACCACATCCAGCAAAGAGATATTTAGATTTAGTGATGGAGCAGATGTGAGGGAGGAGGGAGAAAAAGAAATCAAGGATGACTCATATTTTTCTGACTTCAACATTTTGGTGGTTGGAGCTATGATTTCCTGAACTCAATTTCCTGATCATTTCCTAAACATGAAAGAGAAGCAGAGATAAAGTTGGAATTTAGCATGTTAATTTAGATGCCTTTGAGGCATCCAAGTAGGTATTTGTTTCATTGGGTAGATATTTATTGATTACCTATTCTAAGTCAGGCACTGTGTCTCAAACTGGATATTCATCTGGCAGGTACTTGGGTCTGTAACTGTCTGGCTTGAGGTCTCAGCTGCAAATGTACATTTGAGTTGTCAGCATTCAAATGGCATTTGAAGCTATAAGAATAGATGAGATCACATAGGGGGAGTGAGTAGAGTAAGAAGGGGGCTTAAGATCCAACCTGGGGAACCCTAACATTGATGAGTAAAGGAGACTGAGAAAGAGTGATCAGAGAGGTAGGAGAAAAACCAGGTTACTGTGGTATCCAGATCATGAGAGGAGAGTTTTGAGGAAGACTGTGTAGTCAACAGGGCCAAATAATGTCAAGAAATCAAGTATAAAAAGGATTGAAAACTTTCCATTGGATTTAGTGGCAAGGAAGTCATTAGTTATACTAATGAAGATGAATTTCTGAATTGGAATTGCTGGGTCAAAAGATGTTTAATAAATATTGCCAAATTGCTCACCAAAAAAAGTTTATAATAATTTATACTCCTTCCAACAGCATATGAGGGTATCTGTTTCCTCATACCCTCACTAATGAATATTATGTCTTAATCTTTGCCTAATGGATTGAAATAATGTCTCATTGTTATTTGAATGTACATTTCTTTTTCATTCTTTCTTTCTTTCTTTCTTTCATTTTTTTTTCTTCCTGAGACAGAGTATTGCTCTTGTCGCCCAGGCTAGAGTGCAGTGGTGCCATCTCGGCTCACTGCAACTTCTACATCCCGCCTTCAAGCAATTCTCCTGCCTCAGCCTCCCGAGTAGCTGGGATTACAAGCATGTGCCACCGTGCCCGGCTAATTTTGTGTTTTTAGTAGAGGTAGGGTTTATCCATGTTGATCAGGCTGGTCTCAAACTCCCAACCTCAGGTGATACGCCCGCCTCAGCCTCCCAAAGTGCTGGGATTACAGGCATGAGCCACGACGCCCAGCCTGAATGTCCATTTCCTTGATAATTTGTGAGGCAGCATATGTTTTTGTCTGTTTATTGGCCATTTGTTTTTCTTCTAGGAATTATCAGGTCATTTTCCATTTGTCCATTTTTTTAACCAGTGCATTTTATCTTTTTCTGACTGATGTTTAAGAGCTCTTCAGATTATTAGGGTTAGTGAGCCTCCGCATATGACACATGTATCTTTTTACATTTTAAAAATTGTTCTTTCAATTTTTCTTATGGCTTGAGGTAAACTCTGAGGTTATCTGCCTCCCCCAGGGTTGCCAGGTGGACACTGTGTACCACATGCATTGCTGTAAATGCTTGCTCACTGAAGAGGAATTCCTGTTCATTGGTGTTTTAGGAACCTGTTACGTTCAAGGATGTGGCCATGGACTTCACCGAGGAGGAATGGGGGCAACTAGACTCTGCGCAAAGGGCCTTGTACAGAGAAGTGATGCTGGAGATCTATGGCAACCTGGTCATAGTGGGTGAGGACAACTACTCTTTGGAGAATTCTGGTTTCTTTGGTTGTAAAAAGCTGTGGACTCTTAAAGTGGTTAACTAAGCTAGGGCTTTAGATTCAAATATCAGAATTTCCAAATCGCGACTGAAAAAATAAAATGTTTCTCTCTAAGTAAAAACTCAAGTTTCAGGCCAGGCGTGGTGGCTCACTCCTGTAATCCCAGCACTTTAGGAGGCCAGGGCAGGAGGATTTCTTGAGCCTAGGAGCCTAGACCCTGTCTCTACAAAAAAATTAAAAATTAGCTGGGCGTGGTGGCTCATACCTGTAGTCTCAGCTACTCGGAGGCTGTGGTGGGAGGATTGCTTGAGCCCAAGAGTTTGAGGTTTCAGT